TACTGAGTTGTACACTTAAAACCTGGATGGCTTTGCAACCAATGTCAGCCCAATAAATTCAATGAAAAATTTGTAGTCATTTTGTTAATATTAACAAACAAAAATAAAATCAACAACCTAAACTTTTACCTTACCAGACTTGAAAGGACATGATACCAAACTCAAAGAAGGGGAAAGGAAATAATAAAAATTAGTGCAGAAATGAATGAAATAGAAAACAGAAAAAATCATGTAGAAGGTCAACGTAGATGAAATGGGTTCTTTTGTTGGGCAGGACCGGCTCCCCGGGACAGTGCACACAGGTGTGCCTGGAATTCACGGACCACAGGAGCTGCTCCATCGCCCACAACTTGAAAAGCCTTGTGCACAAGGGCGACGTGCTCGCCCTGTTGGAGTCAGAGCAAGAGGCTCCAGGCTGCGCTGAATTTGTGTCTGGTTCCTGGACAACCGGGTGTCCACATGGGTGGTGGTAATGATGTTCGATTGTTGATAAAGCATTTATACAATGTATTTGTATGTAAAAAACAAAACAAAAAATCTCTAAGGAATCCACTAAAAAACGATTGTAACTAATAATTGAGCTAAGCAAGATTGTAAAATTCAAGATCAAAATATAAAAATCAATTATATTCCTATACACTTGTAATGAACAATTTGTTAATGAAATTAAGAAAAGAAATGCATTTACAATATAATAAAAAGAAATGAGTTCTGGCTGGTGTGGCTCAGTGGATTGAACGCTGGACTGAGAACTGAAGGGACACCAACCAGTTTGATTCCCAGTCAGGGCACATGCCGGGGTTGCAGGCCAGGTCTCCAGTGGGGGCCACGTGAGAGGCAACCACACACGGATGTTTCTGTCCCTCTCTTTCTCCCTCCTTTCCCCTCTGTCTAAAAATAAATAAATAAATTCTTTAAAAAACAAATAAAATACTTTTTAAAATTTAACAAAATAGTTACAAAAACATACTCTGAAAATGACCAAACGTGTCAAAAATTAATGAATATATAAATAAATGGGAAAACATCCCAATTCATGGGTTGGAAGACTTAAGACTGAGGAAGTGGCGTGATTCCACAAAAATGACCTAGCAATTCAGTGCAATGCCTGTCATGATCCCAGCTGTGATCTTTATAGAAGTTGGGCAAGCTGCTTCCTAAATTTATGTGGGATTGCAAGCGAATAAGAATGACCACACCCATTATTGAAAAAAAAATAGTAAGATTAACGTTTCTTGAATTCAAACCTTTTTACAAACCAAAGAGGATCAAGATGGTTTGGAACTAACGCAGGGTAGCCATACAGAAATGTAGAATAGATTGAGATTTGAGAAATAAACCTCTATATCTATGGTCCATTGATATTTGAAAAAGGTATCAAGAATGGGGGAAGAATTAATTTCTCTTCATCACTTTCTATAAGTTGGTGCTGGACCTTCTGGACAACCCCACGCAAAAGGAACAGGTTGTACTGTACACCTCACACCACACGCTGTAACTTACCCCAAAGGATCAAAGACCTAAACATCAGATGTAACTAAAATGAACTTAGATAAAACATAGAAGATAATTCTGGACCTTGGATTTCACAAAATACTGTTAGGTATGACACAAAGAGCAATACAAAAATAAAATTAGTAATATAGACCTCATGATATTAATGATTTTTTTGTGTTTCAAAGGACGGGCAGCATCCAGAGATGAGGACACCCATTGAAACCCTGGTGCAGAACTGCTGGGAATATAAAATCGTGTTGCCAGTTTGAAAACATGATGGTTTATCAAAACATTTAGCACTGAGTTACTATTTGATCTAGCAATTCTACTTCTGTGTAAATACACAAAAGAACTGAAAGCCAGAACTCAAGCAGATATATGTCTACTCATGTTTACATTAGCGTTATTCACAATAGCCCACAGGTGGAGATAACCCAATCATTCATCATGAGATGAATGGATCAGAAAAAATTTGGCACATCCATACAACAGAATCTTTTTCAGCTTTAAAAAGAAAGCAATTTCTGACACATGCCACAACATGGAAGAAGATTAAGGGCATTATGCTAAGTGAAACCAGCCTGTCAGAAAAGACCAAGCACTGTATGACTGTATTGGTATAAGGTAGACAGAGTATTCAGATTTGTATGGACAAAAAGTAGAACGGCTGTTGCCAGGAGCTATGGTGAGAGGAAAGAGAAGTTGTGTCCAATGGGAGAGAGTGTCGCTTTTGCAAGATGAAAGTGGTCCTGGAGATTCATCTTAAAATGTCAATGATCTCTTGACTGAAAAACACACTTAACGAATGTCAAAAGGGTACATTTTATAGCGTCTACACATCATCACAATTAGAGATAAATTTGTAAGGCAAGAGAGTGAAAACACAACCCACGGAATGGAAGAATTTGGCAAATACATCTGATAAGAAACTTGCATCAAAAATATCTGGAGACCTTTTATAACTTAATTATAGAAAGTCAGAAAACTCAATTTAAAAATGGCAAAGAGTTGAATACACCTTTTCCCAAGGAAGATAGACAAATGGTCAAGAAAGAGCACGTGAAGAAATGTTGGACGTCATCACTCATCCACAAACTGCTTGAGTGAAAAGTCATTAATCCAAACCCCAATGTGATAACCACTTCACAGCCACTAGGGCAGCTGGAGTCAAAGAGTGAGACAGTAGCAAACATCGTCAAGGACACGTGGACGTGTTTGGACCCTTGTACACAGGTGGTGGAATATCAAATGGTGTAGGCATATGGAAACCTGGGAGTTTCTCAAAAGTTAAACCTAGAATTACCATTTAATTCATCAATTCTCATCACAAGTATGTGCCCAAGAAAAATGAAAATAAGTTTGAACAAAACAAAAACTGGTATACAAATTTTATAGCAACATTATTCACGGTCGCCAAAAAAGTGGAAACAAACCAAATGTACATAATGAGTGGATAGATCAGTTGTGTCCATCGATGGAGCACTATGTGGTCGTGGGAACAGATGAAGTGTTGGTTCATGCTACAACCCAGTGGCTTTGAAAAATGTATGCTCTATCAATGAAGTCAGTCACAAAGACCATAGGTAATAGAATTCCTCTCACAATACAGCCCCGGACAGGGAAATCTGTAGAGACAGAAAGTAAACTCACGGCTTCCCAGTGCTAAGTTTTGGAGAGGAATATGGAAAGTTTGGAAGTTACAGCTTTATTTTTTTGAGGCGACAAAAATATTTAAAAATGCACTGTAGTGATGCTTGCACATGTCTGTAAATATCCTGAAAATCATTGAGTTGTACACTTTAGGTGAAGGGTACAGTATGGAGATTACATCTCAATAAAGTGGTTCATGTAAATAAATAAATGCGTTCAGAGTTTTGCAATCCAATCTCTCAGGCACATTAGAGTTTCCAAGTTAATGAACACATCCATCACCTCACATAGCTCTTGCTTTGCATGCATGGTGAGAACGCTTAATTCACTGTTTTAGCAAGTTTCAGTGATACAGTATGTGTATGTTGAATCATCATGTCGTAATTTTTAAATATAGACATTTTTTTCTTTCATCCAATTTGCCTTTTACTTTATTGGAAATAAAATTACTCAAAGCAAAGTGTGTTACTTTTGGTGAAACACCTGCAGTTAGCCACCTGAAAGTGCTGTCTCCTGTTTTAGAAGCAACACATAAAAACTAGAATAATAAAGTAACTGACTTTTCAAAGTGCAAAATTCAAGAATTCCAAATATCAGGTCACGGGAGCAGTTTGGAGGGTTGTAACACATAGTTAAATATCAGTCTACATATTAATACACATTTGATTCCCAAACACAATATTAATATGTCATTTTCAATTTGTAGATAAACTATCCTCTTTCTTGCACACTTAATCTAAAGTAAATTAAACGGCACCCATCACTTGCTAAATGAGGAAAAGGCAAACTTTGTCTTTATATATTATGACATTTTTAAATATTACTAAAAATGAAAATCATAATATAATCTTTAATAGTATACTGATCTAAATTCACTTTTTAACTTAAAGTTGCTTCCTCTTCCACACCACACTTTTTAAAATTTATTTTTCAACTACTGTTGACACAATATTATATTAGAGTCAAGTGTACAACACAGTGATTACACATTTATTAAATACTGTACAGACAATTTTGTTTTTCAATTATACCTCCATAAAGCTGGGAGAAAAAAGTTTCCAGGTGCACCCACATCTACATAATGATTTATTTTTATTACATTATTAAATATAGGAATAAATTGCCTTAAAGACATTATAGTTGTTTGCAGTTTAAAGTTCAGTAGGGACACAGGCAAAAAGTGATCTGAACTAAATTTCCCTCCAGGGCGAACTGTCCACCTGAGAATGTAATGAACGCATCTGACCCTGTGTTTAGACTGGGAAGAGTCCTTGTGCCCAGGTTGGTGCCTAGTGGTTTGAACTTCCCACCACAGCCAATACTCTGGGATTCTTTTTCTCTTAAGGCCCAAATGGGTGGGATTGGGGAAGGGGTGGGGGAGGTTTAAGGTTTGCAAGGATCAAAGACTAAAATGGAATCAGACCCAAGTACAGATGGTTAAGTCCCATTTCAGTGTCTGCATTTCTAAACAAGGGCCACAGTCCTGTGTGTGGGCTTACAGATTTATCGCCAAGCCCTTGACCCTTAGAGGATATATGACCCTCTTGCTCCATTGTGGCTTGGCCTGATCACCTTCTTGTTCGTGCTTACTTGCTCCATCTGAAATCTAAATCAGGATTCCTTGCACATAGCTGTGCCCTCGCCTTCACAAAGAGCTGCATCCACTACCTGGGCAGCCCCAGGACTGGAAAAAATTCTGTTTATGCAAACATTCCAAGCTGGGTCAGCTTCCAGTTCGCCAAAAGAGGCTATTTCAGCGGAGCGAGAGTTCTCCCGCGGGCTGTCACTCAGGCTTGGGGCCTGTCCAATTAAGAGCGCGCTGGAGCGGGTGGGCGGGGCAACGCACCGGAATGGCTCGCATATCCCTGTGGCTGCAGAAGTGCTCGGGATCCAGCGTCGCCCGCTCTCCGCCGGCCCGAGAGGGTCTCCTGCGGCGTCTGTCGCGCTGTAACCTATCTTGGGAGTCGTAGGGAGAACTCAGGAAGACCCAGGAAACCTAGAAATGGTGAGTGCCCAGGGCCAGTGGGAGATGGGAGGAGGGGCTAGTTGGAACCGGTTGGAACCGGCGGTGGAGGGACTCCCTCCACCACGCCCCCCCCTCCCCGCGGTCACCTCGGAGTCATGAGGCCCCAAGTCCCATGGGTCCCTGCTTGGACTCCGTCCCCTCTACCTCGCAAGGTAGGCGCTGGGCCAGCAGGGGCACCCAGGCGTCCTGCCCCGTCTCTGTGCGCGACTTCAGCCCCGGAGCTTCTCTGGGTAGCTCTGCTCTCCGCAGCCCCGCGTCTTCCCAGATGGTGCGGTGACACGGGAGGGTCATCAGAGGACAATTGTAATTTGGTCTCCGGGGATCACTTCTGGGAGGAGCCGTGGTCAATGGGGTCCCCAGTGTGCGGGAAAATGGGGGACTATAATAAATTTAACCGAAAGTACTTAACAGGGTGATCAAATCATAAATTCCAAACTAGACAGGCCATGGTCACGCCCCAGGCACACAACTTTACATTTATCTTTGTCTTAAGCAAGCCCCCTGCATGGTTCTGGTGCATTTAGGTTAGCATACCTTCGAAACGCCTCTTTTTCAGACATCTTGGAAACATAACCACATTCAGGGGACCACATAATCTTTTTCAGTATCCTGTCATTCAGTCTCCACCTTGCTTCTCCCACAGTCATGTAATAATCTTCCTTAGGTTCCCTCCTTAATTGCCTCTAACCTCGCTCTTTCTGGGGCAAGTCCCTACATTTTAAAGATTTATTTCTTTATGTCTATAGGTTTTTTTACATGGGAGGAAAGCGGAGAACAACCACAAGGAAAACTTGAAATCCTTGACATCGGGTTGCTTGAAATCCCCAGGACCTTCCCTGGGCACATACATCCTATGAGAAGTTCTTTGGGTGGAGGTTGCTCTTTGGAAACTTTCCTGGTTGATCTCTCCCGTCAGCACCGCTAGTTCCGTGGGTCTCTCACCTTGAGAAGATCAATAGGAATAAAAAATATTTAATCAGTAGAGCTTGAAATATAAAATAGTTTTAAACAGGCAGGAAAGGGGTGAATTTCAGAAAAAAAATATTCCATGATTACATTCCATTTGTATAGAATTCTTCTTTCACTCTTTAGTCCCCTAAGAATGTGTAGGAAGGATCGAGGTCTTTTTTCTTTTAACTTTTGGGTGTTTTCAAATTAAATTGCAGAGTTTAGACTTGCAGAGAAGAAATGTTTAAGTATGATTAATTATTTACAAACCAATTATTTTCCCTGGAAATACAGTTAACTGATATTTTCCTGAAAATATTAGGTGTTAGAAGTTTTCTAATTGACCTAGTAAAAGATTCTTACAGTTTTCTTCCTTTTTTTCCACATAAGGGTGGGTTTTTGGGACTTTGGAGGATTTTTAAAACTGTGGGCTTTTGTTGTTTAAAATATCAAAAGTTGTCCAAACCAACTCTGGTGGGGGTCAGAGGCCTGTGGTCAGTGACTCAAGATAAAGGCTTCTGCCCCTGCACAGGGAAGTACACGAAGGCCTGGTTGTTCCTGAGGAGCCTCCCCCTGCAGGTGTCCCACCTGCTCACACCCCCCATGGCAGGAGCCTGTACCCTGAGAAGCTGCAGCCCTGGAAAGCTGGGGCCCAAGTGCATGTGGGGTCGAGGGTGGTGGGGAGGGTGATCATGCCCTCTTTGAGGTTATAGTTTCTTAGGCCAAGACATTTTTAGACTTGAAGTTTGAGTTTTGCATCCAGTGTTGCTGTCCTCGGGTGTAATTTTTGCACACTGAGAAAGTGTGAAGATCAGGGGTTCTAACTCCAGGACAAAGGTTTGAAGGATTGGGGAAGAATTTGGTTCAGGACCTGAAACTGAGTCAGGCTTCGAGTTCCCTCGCTGTGAGAGAGGATGCCTGGGGGAGGGAGCGCTTCCATGCTTTGGAGAGAGGGAAGAGTGCGGAGCTCCCAGAACTCACTCCTGGGGCTGCTCCCGTGTCCATGTCCAGACTCTCCTTGCCATGCTGGGGGTTCTGTCTCAGAAAGGGGTGTCGGCACCAGACTCCAAGTTTGTGATTATGTTCCACTTTCTCAGTGTGAGCTTTTCTTCACTGTAGGGAAGCAGGCTGCTTCTCTGTTTTGATTCCAGTATCGCTGTGTCTTTTCATTGCATTGTTTTTTCTCTCGAATATTGTGGCCCTTTGGCTCTCATTCCCATTAGCACTTGGACTTTAAAATACAACTGCATTGAGGGAAATGATGTGAATAAGGCAAGACTGATTGGCAAATAAAAAAAATTGCATTTTCATTCTGGTAAGAGAACATGACTATATGAGATGGGTGTTTTTAAGTTCTCAGGGGCGTTTTTCATTTTTAGGTCAGTTTTGTGTGTGCCTGTCCTGAGAGAATTGTGACATGTAAAAGGCTACACTATTCCTGAAGTAAATAAACTCCTGTTTTAAAGGATGGAAGGAAAACAAGTATTGAATTTTGATTTTCATTGATATGAAGAAACACATCAAAGCTTATGTAAATTTTTGAAATTTCAAGTATAGATTTAAGTTGCAAACCCCTAATGCATAAATATCCAGAGTGTGAAATATAGTGGATGGAAAAGTATTATAATTCCCTTTGGGTTTGTTTTTCTTTAAATTTTATTCATTCATCTTTAGAGGGGAAGGGAAGGAGAGAGGGAGAGGAATATCAGTGTATGGTTGCCTCTCATGCATCCCCTGCTGGGAACTGGCCTGCAACCCAGGCATGTGCCCTGACTGGGAATCGAACTGGCAACTTTTTGGTTGGCAGGCCAGCGCTCAATTCACTGAGCCACACTGACCAGGGCTGAAATAGATTTTTTTTTAGTAAAGGCCATATTAAGAACAAAATATTTAGGATATTTTTCTAAATGCCAAGTTTACTTTCTCTTTTCCAATTTTGGTGACACCAAGTTACCTTGTGACCTAAATGCCCCAGTTTGTTTCAAGTTTTTTAGCTTTTGTGAATTTGGGAATGACAACTTCTAAGTTAATTAAATGTCAGACCAAAAACTGTCAGTCTCCTGCTCTAATTTTTTTCCCTGCTCTCATTCTTAATTTTATTCTTTTATTGATTTTAAAGAGCGGAGAAGGGAGGGAGAAAGAGAGGGAGAGAAACATATGTGTGACAGAGAAACATTGATCGGCTGCCTCCTGCATGCACCCTGACCCAGGACAGAACCAACAACCCAGGCAGGTGCCCTGAGCAGGAATCGAACTGACCTTTCAGGTCTGTGGGACACTGCCCACTCCACTGAACCACATGAGCCAGGGCAACCTTCTCTAATTCTTGATGATTGATTGCTGACAGCTCTAGAGCCTCATTCCCACCTCTTCCCCTTGTGCCCCACATCTGCACAAGGTGATAAGAAAGCCTCAGCGCACCCTCCCTGTGGCAGCAAGTGACTGAATCCTCACAAGCTGCTTCCCTCACGTGCGAACTTTTACCCCAGCTCACCCTGTAACCTCGGAAAAGAACATGTCCCTGCTCTTCTCTCACAGGCTATTCAGTGCCCTCTTGAGAGGCCTGCCTTACTCACACTACCCAGACACCTCACTTGTGACAGTAATAAACCCTTCATACCCTACAGGTTGGGTTGTGCTGTCATCCATGGAGGGATCCCATGCTCCAGGGTTGAGCTATGCTGTTCCTTGTCTCCACTGGGAACTTGGGAATGACAGAAGGGAAGGCAGCCCCCAGAGTGGCTGGTCAGGAAATACTTCCAATTGGGGAATGGATGCCAAATGCTCTTTTGGAGGAAACCACTGCTGCACCCTTAACATATTTTATAATCATGAGCAAGTTCACATGACACCATGGTGGATGTCAGTGACCTCCCTTGCACCCTAAACCTCTTAACCTGATCCTCAGTGTCAGTAGCACCCAGGAAAGACTTTATGATTGTGCTGGGAGGAGCTCTTCTGCCATATTTTTATTTCAGCGTGTGCCTGTGCGTGCCAGAAATTGGCTGGAAGCAGCCCTGAGGTGCATGCCTGTAGGGATTTTGTTGTGTAAGTAGTCTTGCCTTCTACTTTGTGTCAGCTCTAAGTCTGAAGTAACTTTTTAGACCATCAGATTGGACAGAAAGAGAAAGGAAAACTGAGTCTATGGAAAATATTCCACAAGGTAAGAGCAGTGCTTCTCCACAAGGATATTTCCATGCAGCCAGCTGCCTGCGGTTCCTTCTCATGTCCTGGAGGAATTTAGCACAATAGCCAGCTGGGCTTTGTTACAAGTTGGATTTCCATAGGCCTCCTGGACACTCATGTTTGGGATGGGACTAGAACAAAAGGCTTGTAGATCTTCACTGTGGTTTTATTCACTAAAATCTCCTTGCAGATGTTAACATCTGCCATGAAGTGCTATAAATGGTGGCTATGAGGAAGGAGATGAGACTATTTTTTCATAAAGAATTGATGATCTTACAATGATAATATTTGTTTCATTTGAATAGCAGTCTAGTTATTTGCAACATTCTCTGAACCCTGCCATTAGAAAAAAAGTAAGGTGTAATGCAGTTAGAGTAACAGTGTGTAAACAATTTCCACGTATTCATGATGGTGTTAAATGCATGACGAAGCAAGTGTGGACAGAGACTTTCTTATAATTAAGTCATAGAATACATGTTAGGAGACAATAGAATCACTTGTAACCTTTCTATAAATGGGGTCTAGGTGTCCAGTGCAGTCATTCTCACATATCTTACTCTACACATATTTTGGGTCTTTAGGACTCGGTGGCCTTTGAGGATGTGGCTGTGAACTTCAGCCTGGAGGAGTGGGCTTTACTGGATTCTCCACAGAAGAAGCTCTACAGAGATGTGATGCAGGAAACCTTCAGGAACCTGGCCTCAGTCAGTAAGGGTGACAAGTTACCTCCACCTTGTTAATCAGAGGAGAGAAACAGGTGTTTCTTGGCCAACATTGTTCTCAGATGTGGGATGTGGGAAGGGAGGACACTGGTAAATAAACTGGGTGTGCTCACAGCTCATTGTAGAACTAGAATCTAATAATTTTTTTTACCAATCATTAGATGAGTAAAGTTTCTAACAGTTTGGAATCAAATTTCTGGGTCTGTATTTTAGGAAAGAAATGGGAAGATCATGGCATTGAAGATCAGTACAAGCGTCAGGGGAGAAGACAAAGGTGAGTCACACTCACAACAGAAAGCACTGTCTTGTTTTAGAAAACTGTTATGCTACCAGATTTAAAAAGAAGCAACCAGAATAACTTCTGCTTCAAACTTATTACCTATCAGAAAATTTCCACCTAATTTCTTATCATGACAGATTTGTTCAGTGTTTGAAAAATAATTTAAATGGAAAGAGTGTTAATAAACCCTTAAGATGAATATCACTATTTCGATGGTAGCAAAGGCAAACTCCTCTTGCAAAGCATTCAGTACATTAATTAAGTTTCTAATCATTCAGACAAGGCGAAAACCTATGTTTTTGCTATAAATCATGAAAGTACAGTTCAAATATGGTACTAATAACTTTAAAATCATTAATGAAAAATATTAGTAATGTGCTTCTCAATTTTTACAGAAATCCAATGTTAGAGAGACTGTGTGGAGGGAAAAGAAGTAGTCAATGTGGGGAAAACGTCAGCCTTTTTCCAGATCTCCGTCTGCAGAAGAAAACTCTTCTGGGAGGAAAACTGTGGGAACACTGCATGTGTGGGAAAGCCATCTTGCACCAGTCATCCCATAATGGGCCCGTCAGATGTCACCCAGGACGCACACTGTGTGATTATCAAAGTTACAGAGACAAACTATGTAATTATGATGCATTTGGGAGAGCCTCCAGTTATCTCCAGTGTGTTGACAAACATGAAAGAAATCACAATGGAGAAAAGGCCTATAAATGTAAGGAATGTGAGAAAACCTTTAGTTCTTCAAATTCACTTCAAATACATGAAAGGTCCCACACTGGAGAAAAACCATATAAATGTAAAGAATGTAGCAAAGCATTTAGTTGTCTCAGTTCTCTTCGACGTCATGAAAAAGTCCACACTGGAGAGAAACCCTATGAATGTAAGGAGTGTGGAAAAACATTCAGGTATTATCAAAACTATCGAAGACATGAAAGTAAGTTTACTGGAGAGAAGCCCTATGAATGTAAAGAGTGTGGAAGAGCCTTCATATGTTATCAGAGTTTTAGAAGGCATGAAAGAAATCACAGAGAAGTGAAGCCATATGTATGTAAGCAGTGTGGTAAAACATTTAGTTGTCTTCGTTATCTTCGAAAGCATGAGAGAAATCACACTGGAAAGAAACCTTATGAATGTAAGAACTGTAGTAAAGCATTTAGGTATCCCAGTGATCTTCAAAAACACGAAAGAAATCACACTGGAGAGAAGCCCTTTGTATGTCTGGAGTGTGGGAAAGCCTACAGAGATCCCAGTTCCTTACAAACGCATCAAAGAACTCATATTGGAGAGAAACCTTATGAATGCAAAGAATGTGGGAAAGCTTTCAGTTCTCATCAATGTGTCCAAATACATGAAAGAAATCACACTGGAGAGAAACCCTATGAATGTAAAATATGTAGCAAAACATTTGGTTATCCCAGTTCTCTTCGATACCACAAAAGGACGCACACTGGGGAGAAATCCTATGAATGTAAGGAATGTGGAAAAGCCTATAGATACCTCAGTTCCTTAAGAATACACCAAAGGATTCATACTGGAGAGAAACCTTATGAATGTAAGGAGTGTGGAAAATCCTACAGATGTTATCAAAGTTTCCAAACACATGAAAGTAATCACACTGGGGAGAAGCCATATGTATGTAAAAAATGTAGTAAAGCATTTAGTTGTCTCCATTATCTTAGAAAACATGAAATAAACCACACTGGAAAGAAACCCTATAAATGTAAGAACTGCAATAAGGCATTTAGGTATCCCAGTGACCTTCAGAAACATGAAAGAAATCACACCGGAGAGAAGCCCTTTGAATGTAAGGAGTGTGGGAAAGCCTACAGAGATCTCAGTTCCTTGCAAACACATGAAAAAACTCACACTGCAGACAAACCCTATGAATGTAAGGAATGTGGGAAAGCCTTCAGGTGGTATAGAAATTTCCAAACACATGAGAGAACTCACACTGGAGAGAAGCCGTGTGTGTGTAAAATGTGTGGTAAAGCCTTCACTTGTCTCCGTTATCTTAGAAAACATGAAAGAACTCACACTGGAGAGGACCCCCTATATGTAAGCAATTTGCCAAAGCCTTCATTTATCACACAACCTTTCAAAATGTGAAAGCGCACACTGGAGAAAAACCATATTAATGTGCAGAATTTGGGAAAGGCTTCACTTTTCCCAGTTCCTTTCAAAAGCATAAAAGGACTCACTGGATTAAAAGCTCTAGAATGTAAACAGTTTGAGAAAAGATTTGAATTGGGCCACACTCTTGCACGTGAAAGTTTCCTCTAAAAAAGCAATTAAAATGTAAGTAACATGAGAAAGCTTGATAGAAATTAACCCACATATAATGTGCCAGAAAGTTTTCGATGTGAAAAAAGAGTTCTCATTAATGCTGTAAATATATCATGTTTACTGCACCTTGTTCTTTACTTCGTCATTGGACTGTGGGTTTCTAGTGATGACTTTCAGAAATGAATACTCATAGAGATGATAAAGAGAATCCGTCAACAATAGTATGTGAAATTAATAGTAGTGCTTTTTTCTTAATACACTTAATATTTTCTATCTTGAAGCCTCTTATTAATAGATACATGGATGAATTTAAGTCTGGTTTTTATATGCAGTTAGGTTAAACATCTTTCTATGACATTTTGTTTTGTTTTATGGGGCCACTGAAAAATGACAGTTTGGTGTCAGGGTTTTCCTCATGGCCTGACCACCCTATATATCACTAGCCCATTAGACACATTCTACTTTTCCCTCTGACGAAGCTCCTCTTTTTGGCATGGTAAGTGTAGGAGCCTTTTTCTGTTTTCCATACTGATAATTTCACATATCACAAGTTTAGGAAAGAATATAGTTATATGTGAATTACTTTAATATTTGGACCTTTGCTTTCTTTGGACTGATGTTTAGTGAGTACACTTTGAATTAAGAACAGGGACCTGTGATAGAGGAGCAAAATCAAGAGCTGAAGATTTTCCCTTTTACTGGGTAATGGTAGGACCTTGATTTTTCGAGACTGCAGCTCCTTTATGGTCTGCGTTAAAATTCCTTAGTAGCCTCACTTGCCTCAGGTTTGGAAAGCAAAGACGAAGAAGGCAAATATTCCCACAAACAGGCATAGGAGCTTCAAGGACAAAGTCTTCTTGCCTGTTACTTGGATTTTTTGACCTTCCAATCAAGACCATCCTCAAAACCACCACCAACTGCCTGATACCCATTTTCTGAGATGCGTGGTTTTCTACTGATGGCTTCACAACAAAGGCGCATCAGAGTTTGGATGTTTCTGTAAGCCATGTTGTGTCCACCAGGATACTGATTCATACTTCTTGCTCATGTCTGATTCCCCTCTTCTCTAGATTATATCTGTGTAAGATCTAATTTGTAGAGGAAACACCTTATGCACTTAACAGTGATAGCAAGTGTTTTTTTTTATTCAATGTGTTTTCAGTCATGTTCGATTGTATGCAATTAAAAGTATGTGTATTGTCAAATGAACACTTCTGCACTTATTAACTGTTTTCTAAGCCCTTGTATGCTGACATATACTGTGTTTTTTATTTCCTGAGAAGGTATATTAAAATGTTTCCTAATAATTATGAATTCCCAAATAAACTGTGTAATTCTCTTCGTTAATAATTATACTCTATGAGTTAATTTTATTATGCGCATTTATGATCAGGTAGTTTTTCCCCAGGTATATTTTGTTCTTTTTTTTCATAGTTATGGTTTTTTTCATGACACAAATTACCACTCAATCTTAACACCAAAACCCCAAATTATGGTTTTTTCATGTCCTCTTGCCAGTGACCTGTGTGATTGAGGCTGTAGTCAGAGGAGTGTGAGGCGTTGTAATAATAAGAACAATCACAGAGTGCACATGGCTCTGGGTGTAATGTCAAAGGCTGATCAGGACTTCCGTAGGATTTGGCCTGTGATACATGGTATTATGGCTGTTGAAGGCACCAAGACATTTTGTATATTGAATGCCCTGAGGAGGTAAATGAATTATGTTACTGGCGATCATAAACCTCATTTTCTGGAAAGCATTGTAGTGGAACTACGCCTAATCTGTAAGAGGCCCTGGTGAGTCACATTAGTAAGAAGAGGATGTTATTGGCCACTTCCATAATTTGGCACTGTCACCTTTGTCATTTTGTGAGCCACTGTCCTTCATGGTCATCAAGGGCCTTTGGTGAAGGGGTGTGTGATCTTTCCCTGGTGCCATGAGACTTGGCTGCACAGTGGTCGCAGCCCCTGTCCTCTGAAACAGCCTGTGGCCGTGGGACTCCCTCTCGGAGCACTGGTGTGTTTCCTATGGTGCATCACACCATTCACCATAATGTATTTCAGTTAAAATCCATAAATTCACTTCCAGGTGGACTGTGTAGTATTAATATCTCATTTCTAACTCAAATGAGGCCTCTATGTGTAGGTAAGTTGTGAAAGAACACAGACCTGGCAAGGGAGACAGGACCACTGGCCCTGTCTAACTCAAAGACTGTGTCCTTGACACTGACAGTTCAGCATCCCTCATTCCCATGCTCTTTAATAGAGTCATCGTACCCTGTTCAGTACACATAACAGAGGCCCTGTAGGATCTGGATATAGCGACATGAGACAAACATGTTCTAGCAGTCCTGGTGCCTATATTTGGTGGGAAAAAAGAGAGATGGTTAACAAATGGTAAAGCTTTGGTTTATAAGAAGTAAATAAGGGCTATAAAGGAAATGAAAACTGACGTGATGTAATAGGGAGGGTGTGTGTGTGTGTATTTTATAAGAGTAGCAGCCTCAGTCAGTGAGGACGTCATTATTGACCACTTGGAGTTTGACCACACACCTTAAACACTGTTTCAGGAATTGCTTGGTTATGTGTATAAATACAGGGTGGTAATACAGAATGCCCTGCTTTCACTGATCCACAGTAAAGATTCACCATAGAGATAAAGGTACAAACATGGTTTATCTTAATTTACACAGTTGTTACAAATGTGTGTGGGTAACATGTCATGAGTCTGGACATTGTTCTGTGGAACTTGAGACTTCCTATTAATCTGGACCACAGATATTTGTGGTGCCTTTCTGTGTTTCATTCATTTGAAAGGATTTTCACTTGACTTTATTGAATATCTTACAGTATTTGCCATTTTTATGTTGCTGTTGTTCACATTGACACAATGCGTACCCACTCCACCAGAGTCCTCCCAATTGAGGAGGGAGAAAGAGTTACGCTCACCCGCACTGTTCTAGCGCATCCTGAGTTTACTTTATGTGTAGGATGATATCTATGCAAGTCTGCTGTGATTCCCCAGTGGAAACACGATGGAGAGCTGTGGAAGTGTAAAGGCAGTCAGTCATCCAAGGAATAATTGAGGTGCCTTGCAGAGAGAAGATATTGTTTTGAGTCATAATCTTAACTGAATGTGACAGGAGAGAGGGGGACTTTAAAACATCTTTTTCTTGCAAGAAGAGTATTTGGAAGCCTTTTGTTTCATGATCCAGCCCCGTGGCCCATTTACTATTCACATGGCCCATTTGCTGTAGCAGCAGTGAATAACACACTTGTTTGCATATGCTGAGATAATGCTTAGCTTTCCTGCCCTGGCTGGATGACTCAGTTGGAGCATCATACCCTAACCAGAAAGTCGTTGGTTCAATCCCCACTCAGGGAGCCTATAAGAAACAACCAACCTCAGCTTCTCTCTCGCATCAATGTTTCCACCCCTCCCTCCTTCCTTTTTTCTCTCTAAAAAGCAATTAAAAAATGCCCCCTGCTTCTAGGATTCTCTCCTTCATTTTAATCTTGGCTAATATAATTATGATGTGCCTTGGTGTGTTCCTTCTTGGGTCCAACTTCTTTGGGACTCTCTGAGCTTCCTGGATTTCCTGGAAGTCCATTGCCTTTGCCAGATTGGGGAAGTTCTCCTTTAATATTTGTTCAAATAAGTTTTCCACTTGTTGCTGTTCGTCTTCTCCTTCTGGTACCCCTATAATTCGGATTTGGAATGTTTGAAGATGTCCTGGAAGTTCCTAAGCCATGCCTCATTTTTTTGAATTTTTGTTTCTTCATCCTTTTCTGTTTGGTTGTTTTTTTCTTCCTTCTGGTCCACTCCCATGATTTGAGTTCCAGTTTCCTTTCCATCACTATTGGTTTCCTGTGCATTTTCCTTCATTTCAATTAGTTTAGCCTTTATATGTTACTCTAATTTGTGACTACAATCAACCAGTTCTGTGAGCATCCTGATCACCCCCCCTGCCCATGGCAGATGCACTCTGGGTCTGCCATGTAACATCACCTGGACAGCCTATGTACCCTGCATGTCAGTGTTGCATTTTGGGTGTCCCCTTCAAACCCCTCTGGCCTGTCCAACACAAATATGTGCTGTTTTCCTACTGTATGCACTCAGTCATTGTCCTGTCATCCCTGGAGCTGACCTGGGCACATCATTAGTGCCAAGCAGGAAATGTCCAAGACACTCTGGTTACATGTAGTAGACAGACAATGCTTTAGATGATTTCTTGAAAGAAAAGTTTCTGCAGCCATGGTAGCTGATGACCACTTGGCCTTGGACAAATTATTAGCCTCCAGGGAGAGTTCTGTTCCCCTAAAAGGGCTACCTGCTGCGTGTGGGTAGGCTACACTGGCAAGGTGTCACCAATTGCACAACCTATGAGTCAAAAAATTGAAATAAGCATGTTACTGAAATATTTAAACAGAGTTCTGGAACCAGATTAACAGTTTCCCGGATCTTTCCAACACTCTGGGATGACTAGATTCAAATTCTTTTTTAAGGCTTTATTATTTTAATTATAATACTAATATATTGCTTGTGCTTTTCACATGGCTTTTAACTTAATGTTCAAATTTAAATTTACTTATGAGTTTTGGCTCATTCATTGATTGAATCAAGTACTTTTTTTTGAGGGAAACAACCTCTGCAATATTGCTACCACTCAGATCTGACTGAGCCGTGAGGCTGTCTGTGTTCTCTGTATGGCGGATGCTGACATAACCCTTCAGATTTCATAGGCACAAGGTGGTCACTTCCAAGATGGATCTCCCACCACTCCCGGTTGAGTGGAGGGGCGGGCTGGGGCGGGGGTAGAGGATTGAAAAATGTCTATCAAAAATTTTTGTGTACCCAGAACCTTAGATTTGACTTTATATAAAAATTGGGTCTTTTCAGATGTGAGTTAAAGATACGAAGATGAACTCACCCTGGATTTCATGTGGACCTTACATCCAGTGACTGAGTCCTTATGAAAAAAGGGGAAGACAGAGAGACACGAAGGGAAGAAGACCCAGTGAAACGCAGAGGCAGAGACTGGGGCTCGAAGGCTGGTGCCACCGGGGGCTGCTGGGGAAAACCTGCAAATCAATGTACAGCTTTCCAGTCATTCTCACTCAAACTATCAAAACCTAACAGCACCTTGTCTTAAAAATTCTAATTATTACGTGGCTTGTCAGGTGGATGTCCTGAAGATCATTAACCAAGCTGGATGCCATCATCTAAATTTCTCAACCCCCCAACGATCACACCTGAACACCTTCATTTTTCAATGTAACTTACTGAAATCATAGTTTACATCTGGGAATCACTCAGGAATAATTTAAATGCATGAGAGACAAAACCCCAACTAAAACTAACTTAAGATAAAATAATTAAACAGAATGTAAGAAGAGGGAAGAAAAGATTCAAGATTCAATGAGGGGGAAAATCAGCTCACATTAACAGGAGTAGGTATATCCACGCACAGAGGCAAGCACTGTGCAAACGATGGGCAGGTCTCCTGACCATCCCCAGGACCCACCCACTCACTGTTCCCCGGTGGTCTCCAGCCCTGTCAGCTGTTTCTGCGTTGTGACCTCACACGGCTCCACTTCTCAGAACTCCCAGTCTGACATATAAGAACCCTGTCTATACCTGGCTCCTCCTCCGATTCCATACGGGTCCTGTGCTGGATTCTCTTGGAACAGGGAAGGCCATGTGACATCCCCCTAGCCCAGGACCTCTGCTAGAACTGCTCTATCTAAAGTTCTAGGAAGTCCAGAAAATGCCTGGTCACTCTAAACTCTCATTACTCCTTTTCTGTCTTGGCCCAGTGAAAGCATGTTCTTATTCTTGCTCCTGTAATTTGATATTTTTTCCCACCAAATACCTTTGATCACTTGTTGATTGAAAGATTATGATGTGCCCTGTGCTGTGAGCAGGTGAGCAAGTTTCTTGACTCAGGCAGGACCTAGTACCAGGGCCAAGACAATGAGTTCACTGCCAAGGTTCTCTCTGTGTGAAATGTTCCCAGTCTACACTTCCTTCTGAAGAAGCTAAGGTTTGCGCTAAACAAATCACCCTGGTAATTTTTAGAGACAGATAGCAGAAGTGCTAATTAAATTATACTATAATGTCTTATGTCTGAATTGGCCTTTGGCAAAAAATAAAAAACAAAGAGATACAATTTACGTTAGAATGAGATATAAAAGCAAGCTTATTAAAATCATATTTGATGGAATCATATTAATTTACCATTAAAACAATCTCTGTAGCCCTGATGGGAGTGGCTCAGTGGACTGAATGCCAGCCTGCGAACAGAAAGGTGGCTGGTTCGATTCCTGGTCAGGGCACAGGCCTAGGTTGTGGGCCAGGCCCCCAGCTGGAGGCATGCAAGAAGCAACCACACCCTGATATTTCTCTCCCTCTCTTTCCCCTCCCTTCTCCTCTCTCTAAAAATAAGTAAAATCTTTATAAATAAAAATCTTTAAAAAAAAAGCCCCGGCTGGTGTAGCTCAGTGGACTGAGCACGGCCCTGCGAACCAGAGTATCGTGGTTCGATTCCCAGTCAGGGCACATGCCTGGGTTGCAGGCCAGTTCCCAGCAGGGGACTCAGGAGAGGCAACCATACAGTGATATTTCTTTCCTTCTCTCCTTCCCTTCCTCTCTAAAGATAAATAAAATAAAAATCTTAAAAAAAATAAAAATAAGTAAAATCTTTTTAAAAAGTCTCTGTTGAGTAGATATTGCCTTTTCCTGGAGTGTAAGTATTGTAAGAAGAAATCGTAACTGATTAGTCTCAAAGTTACCTCTATAGAGTGTAACGTAAAAGTGAATAAAGACCATGGGAAACAGAGAGTGAGGGGTGTGAGGATAAGATCTCCTTTCCTGTCACATGAAACTGAATCTCTCATCCACAAAACCATCTCCTCTCACATCTTTGTCTTTCGAAAGAGTTTAATAATGTACGGTCTTAATATAACAAAGCATCACAAGAAGCCAGATCAAGGAACAGGACTAACATGGAAGGAAACAGGTACCCTGAGGGCAGTCCTGGTGGACCGCTTCCCCAAAGCCACGCCACTGGACTTTCGGGCACAAACGTCTCCTAATTTTCAGTACGTCCTTCTGGGCTCCTGGCTCTCTCTGCCTCCCTGGCCAGCCTGTCTTCCCTCAAGGCCACAGCCAGTCTCTCTCTCGCTTTTTTCACTTTCAGAGTCTGTCTCCGGATATGTGCACGGGTAACCGGTTGTCTGCAGAGAAGCTGTGGGACATAGAGACCTGTCCCTGGGATTATCTCGGCCCAATTTGAAGACCCTGCCGTGGTGGGCTCGGGGCTGGTGTGTACAGACGCAGGCCCAGCACAACCCAGTGATCCACCCGCACTTCTCCGTGCGATTGTACTCATGGTATTCATGACGTCCAATGTACTTAAAGGCTCCCCTTCGCTGCTGCAGGCCTGGAGTCCCTGCAGTCTCCTGTATGCACAGACTTGCTGGGGCTTCTCAAGGTTCTCCTCTTGCTTCTTGTATCTGACCTCATTGCCAGGATGGGAAGTTATCTTTGTTACTGGCCTCTTGAAAATGCAGCTGGTCTGCCTCAAAGGAAGTTCAGATCTTTCACGACGTCTATGCTTGGTCTCAGATAAAAGTTGTCTCTTCTTCCGTAAAGTCTGGGGCATCATGTTTCTTTTGACATGTCCCTTTGAAAACACAATAAAATTAAAAGTTTGAATAACATAGGAGATAAAAGCTTTCAGTGCACTTGGATCCTCTACCCTCCTCTCTTTCTGAAGAAATGTATATGTTCATCACAGTGAGCTGGAAAATTGTTAAAACTCAGTTTTCTGGACCTCAAGCCAAGTAGACCTAGGGTTGGGCCAAGAATTCACATTCCTAAGTGTTCCCAGATTGCTGATGCTGCTAACACAGGCTCTGCACATTAAGAACTAGATCTGGGAACATCAAAGCAGATATGAGTCAAGAACAGAAGGCTCAAGGTCATTTATCTGGTTTCAATTGCAGACCATTTCATTCACCATCTTCCTCTGGGGATGTTTCCCTCTCTGCATCTGTGTCAATGCCAACTACACACACGCTGGTACCCTCTAGCCCAGTGAAATTGTGTGCCTTTCTTTCAACCCTCAATGAGCACTTTTACTTATACACCCAAGTCCCATCTTTCTTTAAATATTCTCTGGTTCAGAAGTAACTCAGACATATTGTATTTCCATCACACAGTTTCTCTTTTGCACAAAGACCTTCACTGTAAATAGCCATTTTTATCCTGCTGATTCTTCCTTTTCTCCTCCTACTCCTCCCTGTTAATCTCAGCTTAACACAACTGATGCTTCTTAGAAGTCAGAAACTCAACATTTATTCTCACATTTATTCTACATCCACACCCTTTCTAGGCCATCCATCCATTTCCCTGGCTCTAAATACCATTAATGAACTAGAAATGCCCATAGAATCAGTGTAACCTGACTTCAACCCTGAGACTCAAATATCCAACTGCCCACTCAGCACATCAGTGCTCACATTCTTGACTCAACTCACAGTGACCATGTGTCCCACTGAACCAACCAGCTCCCCAAATAATTCACCACTATCTCAGTGTCCCTGAAAGTCACTTGTTGATGGTACAATCCTGTTTAAAACCGAGTGTCATTCTGGACACCCAACCACCCCACATGCATATCTGTGGACCATCTATCCACCCTCTGAATCCATGTGAACATTCTCAACTTTTGAATAAATTTTTAGCATCTTTCTTCCAACTTTCCTACAAAATATTCTTTATATAGAATGACTTTCCCTAATCCAGCAATCAAAATTAATATTACATTCTCTGTGTTAATTTTTTCAATGTTTATTTGTATTTTTAAAATATTATTTTATATTATTTTTTATATTTTTTTCACTAAGCTGGATACCCCATGAAGAGAAGTCTAATGTAGACTTTAATGCTTCACACCACCATGTTCACTTTTTGATTTGCTCTCAGAAGGTGCTCAGATATGTTATTGAAAGAAATTATTCAAACTCCAAAGAAATTCTAAATATTTCAAACAAATTTATCCAACCAGAATTATACAACAATCTGCAATATGTTATCATTGCTTCAGAGTTCAAATCCTTTCCCTCTTTATCCTATTATAAAATTCTAGTCACAATGACCTATTTGAAATGTAAATCCAGTAAGCATACCTTTTCTTTTAATCCGCTCGTCTGTGTCTTCACAGTTACGTTTAAGAGGAGAAACCATAATCTCATTACATTCCTGTTGTCCTGCCATAATTAATGCTGCCCCTTCCATTGCCCAAGATGTCTCAGTTTGAAGTGAAATTTATGTGTTTTTCCCCTTTATAGACCACCTTTTATATGCCAAGTTGCATATATACTAAAACCTGTGACTTAGAATTTAACTTGAAAGTCACTGCCCCTGTTGATTTTAATCTGGTTGGAAGGGAAGGGTTAATAGACTGATAAATGTCTAATATAGTGTTGGATATAATTAAGTGATGTGAGAAACTGTGAGGCCAACAGAGAGAGAGAGAAAGAGGAAGGGATGGAGGATGAGAGATTAAGAGGGATAAAGAGAGAAAGAAAATAGCTACAATTATTGATGACAGACTAGAAAAAAACTAACTAATGGCAAGACTCTTGAGTACAGCACTAAACTTTTTTGTTTATATGACCCAGCACACTGTATATAAAAAAAATTTTCCAGAGAGGGGAACAATGTAAATAGTGCGAGGTCAAATACTACTTCTAATTTCTAGTGATAATTGATGTTGGTTAAAAACAAAGCAAAACGACCCTGGCTGGTGTAGCTCAGTGGATTGAGCACGGGCCTGTGAAGCAAAGGGTCGCCGGTTCCATTCCCAGTCAGGGCACATGCCTGGGTTGCCGGCCAGGTCCCCAGTAGGGGACACATGAGAGGCAACCACACATTGATGTTTCTCTCTCACTCTTTCTCCTTCCCATCCCCTCTCTCTAAAAATAAATAAATAAATATTTAAAAAATACAAAGCAAAACAAAGACAAAGCACAACACATCAAGCATATTATTCCCAAGAAAGCTTTATATACAAAAAAGTGTACAATCCCTTGACGCCTAATATTATTAACACCTAACATTCTTAGGTGTTAATATTTTAACACCTAAAAAATGACCTTTAGTAAGATACTTTCTTGCTTTAAGAGTAACAGTCTACTAATTTCAGGTTTCAGAAAAGGAGAATTATAGAGATGGACACTCTTGCTGTCAGTATGGAATCTGTACTCACCAGAATAGGGCGGTTTGTCATCCAGACAGATGCAGGCTCCCCCATGCTGCAGAGCGGTCTTGCTGACCCACTCCCAAGATGCAGAGAGCCTGTGGCTTGCTGAAAAACAAAGTGCCTTTTACCACCGATTTCCCTTTTATGGAGGAGGGGACTGGATAATCCCATCAGCAGATAATCTGATATCTGGTCACATCAAGGGTATTAGATGGCTGCCTAAATCTTTATATGGAAACACAAAAATATGGGATTATTGACACTGTTCAAAACTGTTATAGATTTTAAAAAGTAATGCATTTGTATGTATGCCCTGGCTGGGGATTGAACCCCCAGTGAGGTCGATTTTATATGGGGCCAAGTGCTCTGGTCCGCTGGGCCACCCGGCAGGGGTGACATGATCAGTATCCAGAAGGAGGGAGGGAGGTCCTGCATCCTAGACGACTATGCTGACCTTTCTTTCTTAGGAAATGTAAAGCATCAAATGACATTAAAAATATTAGTATGAAAGTCCTTTTTACTGTGGTTGTGTATAGCAAAATTAGGTAGATACTATATTATCTACTGAACAGAATCAATGCATTTGTTGATTGTGGGTGGTATTTTCAATTTCTAGCAACATTTGAATGATTTTTTATCACCCACATTGTTACATTCTATAAAAACAGAAATGGAAGTTTCTATGCACAAAAATTTCCATGCAATTTATGTCTTAGTAGAAAAACATAGCGACTGTTTAAATATTTATCATGAGAAGACTACCCAAAATACTTATTCTACCTATTACAGACATTAAAAGTAAATCAATATTCTGTGCATTTGCACTTTACCTAATTACTGATAAATTTGAAATTGTTTCAATCACCTTACTTTTTTCTTTACCTTCGCTCTAATTAGATATTGTTCCTTTACTCTCTACTTCACTGACTTTGATTTAACTATTTTATTATTTTTTAATAATAAAATTTATTATTAAAATAATAATTTTATTATTATTTTAGAGAATAATGTAGAGAATTTTTTGAGTTTATTTGAGTCAAACTGATGATGTATGCCAAAGATCAAGACCTTTTATTGTTTCATCTATGAATTTGTTAGTTGAAATCATGTACAATCTGTGTGTAATTACACTGATGATTAAATCATCCACCCTTAATATACTATGCTACAACGAATTGCTGTTCCCACCACCCCAAATGCTAATAACTGAGAACATTTTCAATTCTATTTGTAACATTCCTGAGTTTTGCATTACTGTTGTCATTCATTTTAATTCGGTTCGTGCTTAGTCTTTTAAATGTTTTTTTTTTTCCAAAAATTTGGAATCCCCTGTGGTGCATTGTTGTTTTCTATTGCACTTGGCTGGACGAAGCATAGATTAGTTAAGCCCAGTGAGAGTGGGCAATAATGAATTCCCAAAGCAAAGGAAGCTCTGCCACTTTCCAGGAAGGTGTGATGTACCCGAAAGCATGCTCCCATACACACACACACTTGAAAATGTACATGGGCTTGTCGATGTAAGAAATGTCCACACCTGTAGAGAATTTTTTGAGTTTATTTGAGTCAAACTGATGACGTATGCCAAAGATCAAGACCTCAAAAGCTCCCGAGAATAACGGTTTTGCCGAAGCTCTTAAGCATTTAAAATTAAGGAGGAGATGTAAGGAAGATCACGTGGAGGTGGGAGCAAACAAGGCGGTGAGATATTGGATTACAGAATACTTAACAAGGTTATGTGCTTTCTTGAGGGTGGCTACAGCTTATTTCAAAAGATAAGCCTTTTAGTAAATAAATTACATATATGCCTGGGGCATAACGACCAGCTATGGCTTGCCTAGTTAGAAACTTACAATCACCCTGTGAGGTTACTTCTCATGAATCCCCTCCCTCCCTTTTTTTTTTTTTCCAGCCACAGGCCCAACCTTTTTTTCCTTTGGTCTCTCTCACTTCCCTTTATCTTCATAGGACACACCCAAACACCCTCATACTGTGAGGTGATGGATGTGTTAATTAACTATTGAGATTTTTCACTCCCATTACATTTTATACTTAAATTTATGCCATGTTATACTTATATGAGTGGGGAGACAAAGATTTAGCTGGAGGTTTTATTTTTTTTAAAGATTTTATTTATTTATTTTTAGACAGAGGAGAAGGGTGGAAGAGACTGAAACATCAGTGTGTGGTTGCCTCAGAGGCGCCCCCTAGTGGGGTCCTGGCTGCAACTCAGGCATGTGCTCTAGGCTGGGAATCCAACCCTCAATCCTTTCGTTTGCAGGCTGGCACTCAATTTGCTAAGCCACACCAGCCAGGGCTAGTTGGAGTTTTACAGAGCCCACACCTGTAGTCATCTTGGGATGTTTATAGTAAGTATGTAGTAGTATGTTTATGTGGTAGGGGAGTGTAGAGCATGTGTGTATGTTGTATGTACTATTGTATTTATTCGAAGACGAGGTTTTACCAGGACCTGTTTTACCAGTCATTTGTTTCCTTTAAGATAGTAGATAGTTGAGCATATTTAAATGCTGATGAATAGAAAAAGATATCCATATATCTCCAGCAGATATTTATGAAGATCTCATAGGTGAAAAAATTAATATAGAAAAAGACCATTGTTAATATATTAAAGTTAATGTGATTTAGAAGAGAGGGCACTGGGCCCTTAGATTTTTTTTTTCAATCTCCATATTTGTTTCACTCTTAGGATATAGTCTGATGATTGGTCAGTCTAGGTTAAAACATGCTGCAGAAACACATGTGCACTGCACCGCCCACATCCTGGTCCCACCCACAGCTCCCCTCCTCAGTCTAGTTCCCTTCCCAGTAGATATCTCAGCTCAGGGCCCAACCTTGTTCATACTAAACAAACTAAAACATCTGGGGCTGAGGTGGGGCTGCCAGGGCCAGTTGTATTGCCCACTGCTTCAGCCGAGACCCTCAAAGTTCAGCTCTCAGCACTGGGAGGCCGATACCAGAGGCAGAAGTGCAGGTGCAGAAGGTGTTGCTGGGGGGCTGGGGCACACGAGTGGAGGGGTGGTGAGACGCTGGGGATCCCACCCAGGATGCTGATGCTTGTCATCTCAGCACTACCCATCAAATCCTGCCTGAGGGCCAGGCCTTGGTCAGTGATAGGGGCTGGGTTTCCTCCAGACCCAGGGAGGGGCTTGGACTAAAGACATCCCTTGTCAGAGCCTGGACTCCCTCCTTCCTGCCCGCCTGGGAACCCCGATTTCCTCTACAGGAGCTTCCACTGTTCCCTCAGGTCAGCCTCAACCTGCTATGTCCTCCCAGCTCAGGCAGGACCCCTCCTCAGATAGTCCCCTCAATTACTCTACCTTGGGGGCATTTTGCCCTCACCACTCCTCCTATGGGGCGACTTTTCCCGCAAGTCCCCCCATCCGCCATGGATGAAAGTAAACACTACTAAGACATGATCTGCTTGGGGAGGAGAGGTGGCCAGTTTCTCCGGGGAAAAAGGCCAGGAGCGGTGGCCAGTTCCTCAGGGGATAAAGGTCTTGAGCCCCTTCTTCCAAGGGCTTTTATTGCGTTGTAAAACACAGGAATACAGGGCAGCAAGGATCAAATAGTAGATAACATTTCAAAGAAACCTGAGGGCTTAGTCTGAGTCAATGTCTGTCAGGAAGGAGGTTTGCAGAAATTTTAGGGTTTCCTGCTCAGACCCTTAACATATGAATGAAAACACTCTTATCAGAGCAGGTTTCACAGGTTTTTGAGGAATTCTTTGTGATGCCAGATCCTCCCCCCCACCCCACACAATCTGCTCTGGCAAGGCAAGGAGCAGCACCCCTCCCCATCAGGTATTCAGGCTTAAGTGGATTAGAGACAGGAAGCGCTTCTCTCAGAAGACGTGGGGACTCAGGCTATGTCACATAGACAGGGGGCAAGGGTCCAGTGCTTGCTCCTAGTTGCAGCCCCCCGAGTCCTTCCATGATGGCCTCCCAAGTAGTTGAGTCTGGCTTAGGTTGCTCCTCGCTGTGAGGAGACTTTCCCATCATGGACTTCTGATCGTGCTTTGGGGGCAGGGAGGAGACTGAGGCAGTGTTCACTACCAGACACAAGCTTTGTCTCCTGTTGCTCGCATTCTGGAGGTCGCTCACCTGGAGGTCATTCTTAGCCATGCGGGGGGCGGGGTAGAGTTACAATTCCTGAAACCTGGCAGAGTGGTCCACAACACCCTCCCCCACGTCCAGCCATGTCTGGCGACACTTAGTTCTCACAGATGGGGAGGACACAGATCTCCTGGCGTCTAGAGCATGGTGGCCAGAAATGCTGCTCAGGGTCTGCAACGGGCAGGAGCCCCAACACAAGGACTTATCCTGCCACCTGAATATCAGTAGTGCTGAGCTTAGGAAACCCTGCTCTGGGGCCTTAAAATCTCTGAAGCCCTAAATGAAGTGGCGAAATTGTTTACAATTCAGCAGTCATTTGTGGACCCTTAAGTGCTAACCTGTGTTTCACGGGTCCGGAGTCACCATGAACTCTTTAAACTAGCCAACTGAATTCAGCCAGGAAATGCTCCAGCATGAAGCTGCTTCTCACTTGGGAGAAAAATCCAGCTAAGGCTAAAAGGGTGGGTGGGCTCTTGTTACATCTTAAATCAGGTTAAAAATCAAATTACCTGATTTTCTTATAAAATAATATAATGTTTAGATTTCTGTTTAACTTTTTCATTTGTTTGGAAACTAAGATGTGTGTAATATGTTCATGAGTAAAGGCACCAAGGACACGGATGTGAGCAACATTGCATTAGGGTAAGGAAATGACTACGGGTGGTAAAAATAAAAATGTAAATTTTTTTTGGCTGTAACTGCTATCTTCCAGTAATACTCCAAAATGTCTTAGTAACACAAAGGACAAGAGGAGAGGCACTGACCATTTGTGTTCTAGGCCTTTTAGAAAACATGGAGTTGTTCCTTTGGCCACGTCCATACAAATCTATAAAAAGGTGATTTTCTAGACATAGAGGGAATTGGCACTGTTCAAAAAGGATTGTCCCACAACTGTTACCATGGCAAAACTGGAGAAGTCTACAGTGTCACCCAGCGTGTGGTGGGTGTTGTAAATAAGTTAAGGGCAAGATTCTTGGCAAGAGAATTAATGTACATATTGAGCACAATATGCATTCTAAAGGCCAAGGTGCTTCCTGAAATGTGTGAAGGAAAATGATCAGAAAGAGAAGGAAGCCAAAGAGAAAGACACCTGGGTTTAACTGAAGTGTCAGCCTGTTCCACTCATAGAAGCACGCTTTGTGAAAAATCAATGGATGGGAGCCCGAGCTGCTGAAACCCACTCCCTATGGATTCATGGCATAATGAGTGTGAAAAAATAAAAGACCTCTGTGCTGTTGGAAAAAAAAGTGCAACATATCAGGTTATATCATTAATGGACATGATCTGGGTAACAATGATACCATCAAAGTGGCAAAAGAAATAGAGCTTGATAAGGAGAAAATTCTGAGATATTCTAAGAGAAAGAATTGTTAGCCTGTTAATAGCTGTAAGCCACTCAACAAATACTACCAAAGATGATGTAGCAAAATATACAAAGAATTATACACCAGGACCAAGTGGGATTTCTTCTAGGGTTGAAAGGATGAGTTAACATCTGAAAATCCATCAACGTAATACATGAGATCAGTAGAGTTAAAACCCAAAGTACAACATTTTCTCAATAGAAAATAAATGGACAAAACCCCAATACCTTTTCATAATTAAAATACTCAGTACGCCCAGAATAGGAGAAAATTTCCAAACCTCATTGTGGGCATCTGTGGAAAACCTACAGCTAATATTATATTTAATCATGAGCTTTTCCGCATGACCCTACAGGAGCCATACGGCATTGTTCTTGGTTCCCACATAACCTAAAGGAAAACTTTCACAATGTCTGGAGACCTTGGTGTCCTACAAATGAAGGAAGGGGATGTCCTCAAATTTCTTGCAGCAGGAACCCACTTAGGCGGCACCAACCTTGACTTCCAAATGGAACTGCACATCTACAAAAGGAAAAGTGATGGCATCTACAGCATAAATCTGAAGAGAACCTGGGGGAAGCTTCTGCTGACAGCTTATGCCATTGTTGCCATTGAAACCCCCACTGAAGTCAGTGTCTTATTGTCCAGGAATACTGGCCAGTGAGCTGTACTGAAGTTTGCTGCGGCCACTGGAGCCTCTTCTACTACTGGCCACTTCACTTCTGGAAACTTCACCAACCAGATCCAGGCAGGCTTCTGGGAGCCGGTGGTTACCAATCCCAGGGCTGACCACCAGCCTCTCACCCAGGTGTCTTAATCTGACTCCCACTGCTCTGTGTAATGCGCTCTCTTCTGGGATCTGTGGACACTGTCATCCCCACAACAACAAGAGGCTCACTCAGCGGGTCTGATGTGGTGGATGCTGGCCTGGGAAGTGTGTACACGTACAGCACCATCTCCTCTGAACACCCGCGGGCAGTCATGCCTGATCTCTACTTCTATAGCGACCTTAAAAAGATTGAGGAGGAAGAGCAGGTCACTGCTGAAAGGTCTGAACAAGGAGGAATTTCAGGGTGAATGGGCTGCTCCCGCTCCCGAGGTCACTGCTGCTGAGGTCGCTGACTGGTCTGGAGGAGTGCCAGGTGCCCTCTGTGCCTATTCAGCAGTTTCCCCCCAAAGACTGGAGCACGCAGCCTGCCACTAAATATCGGTCTGCAGTCCTCACTGCACAGGCCACTGAGTGGGTGGAAACAACCACTGAGTGGCCTTAAGCTGTCCTTCCACAAACTCCTAACAGGATGGAAATAAGGTTGATGGAAAATAGAGTTTCTTAAAAAAATCATGAAAGGCTGAAAGCTTTTCCCTGAAGATAGGGAACCAAACAAGGGTGTCTACTCTTGTCACTTTATTCACCAGCTTACTGGAGATTTTAGGCAGAAACTTCAGACAAGAAAAGAAATAAAATGCATCCAGATCAGTTAGGAAGATGTAACAGTGTCTCCACCTCCAGATGAGGTGTCTTGTATATAGAAAATTCTAAGGAATAACCCCCCCACACACAAACATTCAAACTAAGAATTGAGGTTAGCAAGTTTGTAGGATTCAAAATTACAATATTAAACTCAATTGTATTTCTATACACTAGTAATGAACAGTCTGATAGTGAAATTAAGAAAATAAATGCACTCACAATGGAATGAAAGGAAAAAATATTTATATAAATTTAACGAACACATACATACTCTGAAAACTATCAAATATCACCAAAAGGGTTTAATAAGTGTACAAATGATTAGAAAGCATTTTAATTTCATGGATCTGAAGACCTAACACTTTGGAAATGCCACTACTCCACAAAATAACCTAGAGTTCAGCACAGTATCTATCAGATCTCAGCTGTAATCTTTGTCAAAATTGGCAAGTTGTTTTTTGAATTTATATGGAATTGCATGTAAACCAACATGACCAAACTCTTCTGGAAAAAGAACAAAGTAGTGGCACTAACATTTCCTGATTTCCAAACTTGGTGCGAACCAGAGGAATCCAGACAGTGCAACACTGACACTAGAATAAACACGCAGCTCTGTGGGATGGATTGAGACGTGAGGAATAAAACCCTGACTCTATGACCAACTGATATTTCAATAAGGTAACAAAAACAGGGAAAATTACTTCTTCATAAATCAGTGTTGGACTAACTGGAGAGCCACATGGCAGAGAAAGAGGCTGCACCATTATGTCACACCACATAGTGTCATTTCCCCAAAGACACAAAGATCTAAACATAAAACAAACCTATAACCAAGTTAGATAAAGCATTAAAATTTTTTTTGACCTCGGATTTGGCAAAGTATTCTTAGATATTCTGACACAAACCACTAATTTCAAAAATTGGTAATTTAGACTTCATCAAATTAGTGAATTTTTTGCTCCAAAAGACACCATCCAGAAAGGGAAAACACCCACTAAAAGCCTTGTGCATCATTGCTGGGACTATAAAATAGTGTTGCCAGTGTAAAAATCAATATGGCAATTCATCACAAAATTACGAGTTCAGTTACCATCTAATCTACCCATTCTACTTCTGGGTACCTATCCAAAAGAACTGAAAGCCTGGAGTCAAGAAGGTATATGTCTACTCATGTTCATGATGCATTTTTTTGACAATAGCCAAAAGGTGGAAGTAATCCAAGCATTAATCAACAAATAAACAGGTTTCAAAAATTTGGAACATCCTTACAACAGAATCTTTTTCAGTTTTACAAAGAAAGCAATTTCTGACCTGTGTTACAACATGGAAGAAGGTTAAGGGCATTATGCTAAGTGAAACCAGCCTGTCAGAAAAGGCCAAGCACCGTATGACTGTATTTGTATAAGGTAGACAGAGTAGTCAGATCTGTATGGACAAAAAGTAGAACGGCTGTTGCCAGGAGCTATGGTGAGAGGAAGGAGAAGTTGTGTCTAATGGGAGAGAGTGTCGCTTTTGCAAGATGAAAGCGGTCCTGGAGATTTGTCTTAAAATGTCAACGATCTCCCGACTGAAAAACACACTTAACGAATGTCAAAAGGGTACATTTGATGGCGTGTACACATCATCACAATTAGAGGTAAATTTGTAAGGCAAGAGAGTGAAAACACAACCCACGGAATGGAAGAATTTGGCAAATACATCTGATAAGAAACTTGCATCAAAAATATCTGGAGACCTCTTATAACTTAATTATAGAAAGTCACAAAACTCAATTTAAAAATGGCAAAGGGTTGAACACCTTTTCCCAAGGAAGATAGACAAATGGTCAAGAAAGAGCACGTGAAGAAATGTTGGACGTCATCACTCATCCGCAAACTGCTGGAGTGAAAAGAAGTCATTAAATCCAAACCCCAATGCGATAACCACTTCACAGCCACTAGGGCGGCTGGAGTCAAAGAGTGAGACAGTAGCAAACATCATCAAGGACACGTGGACGTGTTTGGACCCTTGTACACAGGTGGTGGAATATCAAATGGTATAGGCATATGGAAACCTGGGAGTTTCTCAAAAATTAAACCTAGAATTACCATTTAATTCATCAATTCCCATCACAAGTATGTGCCCAAGAAAAATGAAAATATGTTTGAACAAAAACTTGTATATAAATTTTACGG